TATATAGTATAGAGTATAAATCGTATATATATAGCTTCAAGAATTCCCAGCACTGCCCAATCAGCCTGGAAGCCACCGCGCACGAAGTCGGCAACCGATATGTTTTCCACTCGAAGTGGCACAGCCTTCAGGTTTGGTCTCTAAGTCCCTCCCTTGAGGAGGCAATGGCCAACAGAGGCAAAACGGAATGTTCGCAGACTCACATGCAATCTCAGATGCACATGAGTTCTCGCAGCAGCACTTCCCTCAAGAATCTTGCAGATTCTTCACACAGGGGAAGAAAGGAGAAATGACAAAAGCTTGGGAAGTGCTTTCGAGTCCTGGCCTTCAGTAGTGCCAATGGCAGGCGCTCAGGCTCCGTGGTTGCTGCGGCGACAGTCCTCGCACACGCGGTACTGAGTAGTGCGACGCCCTCGGATATGCTCACAGTCATGGCGGGAATGCCAGGTTCTCCCAGAGTTGGTCAGGTAGGCGTGGCCCGCAAACGGAGTGGGATGTGGAGCAGGTACAGCAGCTCTCGCCTGCATCTCCCTCATCGCGGTCCTTGTTTCCTCGAGCTCCCTCTCGTAGACCGCGTGCTCAACAAGCGTCTCACGGCGCAGCTCCATCAAGTAGTTGCACTCACGTCTCAGGCGGTCCTCTTCACGAACTAGCTGCTGGGTCATCACCCCAAGAGTGAGCTGCGTTTGCGTAGCAACAGTTGAGGAGGCAGTCGGCACCGTTGACGAAGGCGTAGTCGAGGAAGTTGTGGTAGTCGAGGAGGTCGTTGTAGTCGAGGAGGTCGTTGGCGTTGTCAACCTTGGGAGGCCGTACAGTTAGCCCAGCGAGAAGACGAAGAGGAGCACCAGGAAGAACGCTGTCATGATCGCCGTGTCAAACACAAAGACACCGTGAAAACTTGTGTGCACCTCCTTCTCGACAACATGGCCCTCCACAGCGTCCGTCACTATGTTCACCGCCAGCACCCTCGCAATGTGCTGTGCAATCCGAGAGCCATAGCGCCTGTCACCAAACGCCTTGGCTGCAGCACGTTGTCTCTCAGCAGGGTCCTTCTTCTTCGCCGCCACGAAGTTGTCGTCGTAGACAAGTCGGATCTTTCCGGAGCGAAGAGCATCGGCAAGAGCCTGGCGAGCAGCAATCTTTGTCATGCCATCGGCAAGCATCCTCTCGGAACTCACCCAGAACACAGTGGTCCCTTGATCCTTGATCTCTTGCTGGATGCACGCAATCTCAATGGCAGCTCTCTTGTCCTGGCTTGACGTGAAGCCGGGTCTCCCGATAGCGTCATAGAGGGCCTTGGCATCGATAACAAGAAGCGACGCAGCAATGCCACGAGGCACCGAGGGATCGCGAGGATCGAGGCCGGGATCAAGCATCATCGCCAGCATCGTCTTGAGGAGCATGGTCTCGTCGAGTGCTCCAGAGCAAGCCTGGCTTTCCGCAGCTAGGCTCGAGCGACAGACACGAACCAGCTTGCTTGACTTCCAAGACACAAGGTTGTAGCTGCACAGGTCGCCCTTGGCCACGCTGGGGCTGCACACCACAATGATGTAGCCTCCCTGAGAAGCATGGTCATGCCTCACAGCCAGAGCTGCATCAGAGTAGCTCACAAAACACATCTCACGCAAGTTGTCTGCAACCTTCTGCATCTTGATGGGATGGCCGGCGATACTCCTAGCAAACCTCAAGGTCTTGTTGAGCTCATTCATCAAGTGCCCATCTCCACTGGTAACCTGAGAAGCTAGGATGCTCACGGAGGCGGCGAGGGCTGGCATGCCTTGTGCGGCCGGCCACTGGAGAGCACCAATCAAGCCCCGAACCTTGGACACCTCAGAAGGGGTCAGCTTCTCATCAAGCTTTCGGCCCTTCAACACGGTGATGGGGTGGACCTTCGCAATGTAATCGGCGTAGGACAGGCTGATCACCCCATCCTTCAAGGATATCTTGCCACCACAGTACATCAGCGGCTCCTTCTCAGTTAGCTCGGCCCACTTTCCAAACTCGAAGTTCTCTTTGAGGTACTTCACAGCGTCCTGGAACTCCTTCACTTTAGGATTTCCTCCCAAAAGCAGGTCATCGACGTGCAACACCAGGGCAGCGACCAGATTGTGGTTCTGGTCGAACTTGAAGAAGAGGCACTTATCCAGGAAGTGGGCTCGCCAACCGCCACGATGGAGTCGGCGGCTTGCCTCTTGGAACCACAGGAGTGGAGCATCGGCCAAACCATAGGCAGACTTCAAGAGCTTCATGTAGGTGGGCTTGCGGTCACCCTGTCCAAGAAGCGGTCCACAGTCAGCCGGAAGTTTGACTATGATGCTCCTCTGGAACTTAGCCCCTGACAAGAAAGCTGTCTTAACATCTCCACAATACAATGTCCAGCTCATGTTTGGGCAAATGCACAGCAGCAGCATCTTGCTCTGACGAGTGGCCGTGGGACTGGCCTTGTCGAGGTTAAACAAGTCCGGATCTTGAAATCCACGAATCACCCGTCTGGCCTTGGCTTTTGGTGGAGCCCCAGGTGTTTCGGGGTCTTTGAACGTAAGGACCCACCGAGCGGTGACCACCCGGCTGCTGTTTGACCCATCCAGCTCCGAAAACTCCCAAACCGCATTGGAAAACCAAGAGGAGAGCTCCTTCTTCTTAGCTTCCACCATACTCGCACGCTCGTCCACACTCATCTTTGCCATGCTGACTTCACGGTTGAACCACACTTCATCCATCACAAACGCGCCATCAATAATGTTCCAGCCCACTGGAAATGCCTTTGGCAGTTCCGCCCCAGAGCTGACAAGGAAAACGTCCGTGGCCACAAGTTCGTCGTCATCGTCCACAGGAACTGGCACAGCTTGCGCCGGGTCCTCGCGACTGGCAGTCGCAGCTCCCGGAGGAAGAGGAGAAAGAAGAACAGGGTCAGCGCCATCAGCAGAGGACGACGGCGCCACAAGTCGAGGTCGCTGGGTGGGCGGGCCGGGCACCGAAGACGAACTCAAGCGCCGGCGGTCATGGCGAGTGCGCTCCTCCATCTCCTGAAAAAGGAGCGAAGCAGCCCCAGGAATGGAGGGGTACCGGTCGAGATGGCGTTCATCATCAGCATCACTATCGCGATCACGCATGGGAGCATCAGCATCTGGAAGAGAGGGCTCGTAGTCGGGATTTTGCCAATCGGGCGGTCCCTCATCGACAATGTCTTCCATCACGGGCTCGGCTTCAATGACATCGCGAAACTGCGAGGTGCTGCGTGCTCGTAAATCTTGCAAATCCGATAGAGCAGCAGCAGGATCAGCTATAGGAGCACAGCCAGTGTCAGCGACAAGAGGGCGAACTTGGTGAGGGCCACAGCGCAGCAAGTTGGTGCCGTGAGCCACCCACACCACTATGGTCTTGCCCTCATCGTTGTGCTCAAGTGCCACAACGCGGGCGGGCCCGCGCCATTTCTGCTTCTGTAGGATGCCAGTGCCCTGAACACGCCAAAACCACACCTTTTGCCCCACCGCCACATCATCATGGCTTTCACGGTAGAGCTTGTTCATGGCTCGGCGCAATCGTGCATCACAGTCAGCTTGCAGAAAGGCACGCTGAGCATCAAGTCGACGACGCTGGGTCTCCGCAAAGGTGGTGGGCTCGTCGATTGGATCCGCCCCAGGATTCCACAAATCAGCAGACAACGAGGTCGAGGACATTGGAGTGCGGCCCGTCACCCACTGCTCCGGGGTGAAGCCGCGCTTGAAGCTGAGCTGATTGATTTGGCCCGGTGTGTAAACCAATGCTTCTTTGAGATTGCTTAGGTTGCGCTCGCCTTTCACATCCATGTAAATCTCGAGGGCCCGGCGAACCACCTGATGTTTTCTCTCAACTGATCCAAGCCAATTGTGGCACTCTGCTGGCGCAAGCTCCAAGGTAACATTGTGTTGCACGGCCCAATCTCTCAAAGCTCCTGCTGCCCAGCCTTTGGCCTCATCAATTCGAAGAAACCTGGGAACCCCGAACTGCTTAATCCACGCACGCTCCACTCCTTTAATCAAGTCGGTGCTCTTCTCACTTTCAAGCAAGCGAACAGCAACATAGCGAGTGGCCTGGTCCATGATCGTGAGGACGCATCTCCGTCCCCCTTTCACCTCGATCCAGGCACTGTCCGCACACACGCGGTCACCGAAGTTCTTTGCCATGAGACCAGCGGCGGGAGGTACTCCAGCGGGCTTGCGTCGACTGTAACACACAGGGCACACATACTCCCGAGCTGCTCTGATTGTCCCCTCGGTCGCCTGAACCTCCTCCAGCATACGAACTAACACTTCGGGTCCAGGATGGCCAAGGTTCTTGTGCAATCGGGTCACATAGTTCATGGCCTGGGCTCCAACCTTTTTCCGAAGTTCCCGATTCTTCCTGCTCACGTAATCATCGCCCTCTGGTGGTGCATCTGGTTCTCCTGGAGATGGTAGTGCATCACGTTGTGCAGGAGATGGTAGTGCATCACGTTGTGCAGGAGATGGTATTGCATCATCAGCAGCTAGCACGCTTTCATCATCGCTTTTCTCCAACAGAAGGTCGGCCAGCTTGTTTGCCAGCTTGGTGGGGTAGTGCTCGGTCATGCCATCCACATCGCCCTCGGTCGATGCATGAACATGGGTACCCCCACACTTTCTCTCAAGCTTGGCGGCAAAGGGCTTTCGTGTCGACAAGAACCATGTTGGCTTCTGCACAAGAGCCAGCTTGCCCTTGCCATCAGACACCCGAAGTCCATATTCACACTGATCCACTAGCGCAGCCCAGCCCGTCAGCTTAGCAAAAGCCCTTGTCATCCATGCACGGCTATCCCAAGGATGCTCCAAATGAGCATGTCGTCCAGCTCGACGCTGGACCTCGAACACCACCGCCACAAAGGTCAGGATGTTATCATGGTGTTCCTTCCTTGAGCTCCGAAGTCGCTCAGGATTGCCAGCTAGACTCAGCTCATGCATGGGGCTCCATAAGGCTGACGCGGGTGAAAGAAGAACTTCATCAGGCTGCACCTCGTCAAGCTTTCGGAGAAACTTGCGCCGATCCTTTGGCCGGTCAAAGTTCCAGCCTGTGCTCTTAGAGAACACCACTGCCTCACCACCACGTCGCTGCACTGCATCGCTCACTCCACCCTTGCCCGCGACAACCTCCCAGACGATCTTCTTGCTGCCCTCGCCCACACGCGCTGCTTGGCTGAGCAATCGCCTTCTGTTCTTCACCGCGCCCTGCGCCGCGAGCATAAAGCCACGAAGTCGGCCCTTGCTCAAGGACTTCAACACGGGCACGGTCACTTTGCAGGTAGACCACAGCGAAGACAGATGTTGCGGCCAGCAGCCGCGGCACCCCGAGCACGAGCTGTGCTCCCCTTTGGCGCAACAGGCGCCTGCTTGCCCTTGGAACCACCACGGAATTTCCCCTTTGCACGACCACCCTTTTTACCGCCACGACCAGGAGAAGAGGATGGCGAACGAGACGTCACGGAGCCACCACCTTTATCCACCAGGGCAACCACAGGGTAGAAGCCACGAGACATTCTCATGTTGTTGAGCTTCGCCTTGGCATCGGTGTAACTCGCGTAGATCTCGTCGTACTCCTCCACGTCGAACACGTCCTGCTGGTAATCGGCATCATCGGCGGGGTCGTGGTAGTAGTCGCCATCTTGATCCACCCACGGGCCTGCAGCATCATCGTAGTCCTCGCCTTGGTAGTTTATCTCGTCCCAGCCAGCAGCCCAGGGATCGTCGGCATCGTCGTCAAACTCACCTTCGTAGAACACATGGTCCTTGGCACGGCCCCAGCGAGGAACCTCAACCTTAGAGTCTTGACCCAAGATAAAGTTCATCGCCTTCTGCGCGGCATCCACGCTCAAGCCGTCTGCGCCCACATGCGTGAGCACTAACTGCCGCTGCTCCTTCTGGATGCCACTTTTGCGCAGAAACCACCATGCACGGACCTTCTCGGGCAACTCAACGCCATGCGTAGTCCTCAGCTGGCGCTCGGCCTTGGAGAACTCCCCTGCATACTCCTGCAAGGTCTGCTGTGGCTTCCTATGAAGCCGCACGAAGAAAGTCTCAAAGTCCTCAGGCAGCTCAGTCATGGCCTCAAACTTGAAACCCCGGTCCAGCCTCTCGAAGACTTTTGTGAAGCCCTCGGATCCCTGAAGCACGTCCATTGATATGTCATCCACCAAGTCCCAGGCCTTGCCCGACAGGAGGGTGACAATGTTGAAGACGGTCTCCTTGGATCTTCCCGACAGCTCCATCTTCACGCGGTACAGCTCGCATCGCTTGCGGTACTCTTTGTAGTTCCTCTGCACGTTGTCGAAGATCGGCACATACTGGTCGGCTTTCCCAGTGAACTCACGTAACGCCTCAGGCGTCGGAGAGGCTGTGCCCTTAGCACCGCCCTTGCTACTCATCGAAGCAAAAGGCACGGTCACGACAGCGCTCCGCTGCCAACTTCAAGAATTCCCAGCACTGCCCAATCAGCCTAGAAGCCACCGCGCACGAAGTCGGCAGCCGATATGTTTTCCACTCGAAGTGGCGCAGCCTTCAGGTTTGGTCTCTAAGTCCCTCCCTTGAGGAGGCAATGGCCAACAGAGGCAAAACGGAATGTTCGCAGACTCACATGCAATCTCAGATGCACATGAGTTCTCGCAGCAGCACTTCCCTCAAGAATCTTGCAGATTCTTCACATATAGTATATATAGTATATATATATATATATAGCATATATATATATAGTATATATATATATAGTATATATATATATAGTATATATATATATATATAGTATATATAGTATATATAGTATATATAGTATATATAGTATATATAGTATATATAGTATATATAGTATATATAGTATATATAGTATATACAGTATATATAGTATATATATATATATATATATATATATATATAGTATCTATAGTATCTATAGTATATATAGTATATGTAGTATATATAGAAAAAGTAGTATGTATGTATATGTATATATATATATAGAGTACATACATGTATATATATATATATATGCATATATATATATATATGCATATATATATATATACATATATATATATATATATATATGCCTACATACCTACTCTTGTTTTTGTTTTTTTTTTTTTTGTTTGGTGTTTTTCCTGGGTTTTTCTTGGTGAAAAGCACTATTTTCCTTATGTTTTGGACGGATTTGGTGTGCTTTTCTTGTTTTTTTCCACCGGAAACGAAAAGAAAACGGGATGCAAATCAATTTTTTTCAATCAAAAACAACTTTTTTCAATCATTTTTTCCAATCAAAAAAAGCTTTCCCTTATTAAAGGAAGCACGACAGGAAGGAAGGAAGGAAGGAGGGAAGGCAGGAAGAAAGGCAGCAAGGAAGGATGGCAGGAGGGAAGGCAGGAAGGAAGGAAGGAAGGAAGGCGGGGAGAAAGGGCGAGGAAGGAAGGAAGGAAGGAAGGAAGGAAGGAAGGAAGGAAGGCAGGAAGGCAGGAAGCAAGGCAGGAAGCAAGGCAGCAAGGAAGGAAGGCAGGCAGGCAGACAGGAAGGAAGGCAGGAAGGAAGGAAGGAAGAAAGGAAGGATTGAAGGCAGGAAGCAAGGAACGAAGCAAGGCAGCAAGGAAGGAAGGCAGGCAGGCAGGCAGACAGGAAGGAAGGCAGGAAGGAGGGGACCCTTTTTGTTTTGACCTTACTACTATTATTACTATTACTATTACGATTACGATTACGATTACGATTACGATTACGATTACGATTACTATTACTATTACTACTACTATTACCATTACTATTACTATTACTATTACTATTACTATTACTATTACTATTACTATTACTATTACTAATTACTATTACTATTACCATTACTATTACTATTACTATTACTATTACTATTACTATTACTATTACTATTACTATTACTATTACTATTACTATTACTATTACTATTACTATTACTATTACTATACTATTACTATTACTACTACTACTACTACTACTACTACTACTACTACTACTACTACTACTCCTACTACTACTACTACTACTACTACTACTA